GACCTGCGCAGGCCTGCGTAATTGCGATCAACAGGCTTGTTTGAGACGCGTTGCGGCTCGCCTCGAAAGTAGACGAGAATAGCCGATCGCAGCCGGGGGAGGTCTCAGAGACCTCCCCCGGCTGCGATCGGCTATTCTCGTCTACTTTCGAGGCGAGCCGCAACGCGTCTCAAACAAGCCTGTTGATCGCAATTACGCAGGCCTGCNTTATCTCCCCTTCAAAAAGCTGTTTAATTAAACTTTAAAATAGTACCATCCAAGACCCATTTCTGGAAATTCTGAGAGAAAAAAAGTCAAATTGTGGCTGAGAAGAGTGAGATATTGCAATAAGAAACAATCTTTCTATTAGGGCTGCAACAAACTGACTAATTTGATACATAGGGCTGAACCGATTATCGATTGTTAAATGACTGCGATTATCAAATCAAAGCCTGTTCTTTTTTTTTAACCATTTTTTTTTGTTCTTCTTGTGTGTCAGTCATCACCCAATTCAGAAGTGCTGTGCTCACATGTACCAGCATTTTTTTAACCAATCAGAAGTTGGGCCCATGATAGAAGGTGATAGGACAAATTGATCCAAATCACCTGCCAGAGTATTTTTGAACAGTGCCTGCCCTTTCAATGGCTTCCAAATGGAGCCTCTCCTAGATGGTTTGGTGAAACAAACGTCTGAGTCAGGTTTAGTAATGTCATCACAGTGTTTCTATTACAGGGTGATCTGAAACTGAAAGCTGGACTTTAAAGCAACCCAACGGAAGTTCCATGTAAGTTTAGTTCTTTCACTCGTAGCTCGGGCTGCGGTGCTAGAGACGTGAGCACGTTGAGCGATTTTATTTTTTCCTTCAGCCAGGACGATTGGCGCATTTTACCATTTCCGCATTTTACAATTCTTTTACAATAAACTTCCGTTTGGTCGCTTAAAAACAATATCGCAATTCGAATCGCAATATTTGTCAGAAAAATCACAAATTAGATGTTTCCAAAATCTTGCACCCGTTTGATAATCGATGGAAGTCTATCGCGATAATGAACACGATTATCGACTATTCAGACTTATTGTACTGTCATGCCTTGCACCAATTTTTCTCAAACGTTTTGTTAGCCATCGCTTTTGATTAGCCTTGAGGTTGTTTTAAGCCATGTGGAAACTAACAATGAAGACAATAAGTGAATACTGATCAAAAATACATATATTATTAAATTTAACAAATGTGGAACAAGAATGAACATTGTGTTTTTATTACAATTAAATATTTAACTATTTCGCATTCAAAAGAACAACAGTGGTTTTACAAATCGTTATTAAATAATGTGACTTTAACAAACATTAAAAACCAGTTACCTCTAATCATTAACCCATGTTATGTATCATTGAAGTTTAATCCGTGTGTTGCTGCTGCTACATAACACCTGACGTGGAACCACATTACCTCGTGGACGGGGCTTACAGAGGCCTTTTCTAGAAGACAGTCCAACACGGTGCATTCCTCCGTCTGAATGTGGTGCACTTTTGCTAATTGACAAATGCTCGTGTTACCGCCTCACCATGCTAAACTCTATTGCACTTATTGGTAGCGAGGATTGTCTACATCGAGAGGGTGTAAAATGTAACCACACCCTGGATCGTGTTCTGGTGTTCTGTGTTGCTGCCATGAACGGTGCAGCTGGCGTGTGTTTAAACTGCCCCGCCCCTTGCACACAGAGGGGAGGAGAGAGATCTCTTCGTCTGGATTGGGAAAGTCGAAAATCTAAAAAATACCACCCATAGACGCATTTTTTTGTGTTTTTGCATGTTAGAAAACGGGTTGGGCGACACTAAGCTCGATAAAATGTTTTTGTAGCAATAAATACATTGCATATAACAACCTAATCGATTAAAACCGACGACTGAACTTAGTTGGCAAAACTAATCTTTGGTCATCTCTTTTATTGATTAGTTGTTGCACCCTAATCTTCTATCACTGCAAACTGCCTAAAAACGTTCATTTGATTGATTTTCAAATGTGTTTTGTTAACCCGGTTTTCTACACAACCACTTCTATGGCTTTCACTTGCGTCCAAGTATCTTTTAGGATGATTTTTAAAATCTTTTACTTATTTGCAAAACTCTTGATTGTTGCTATATATTTTATTTAAATTAATTACTGACTCTTAGATCTCTGCTGTAATTTCCAGCCATTTATTATGAAATTTACCTTGATGAGCTGTCTTCTTGGTGGTTTCTGGTTGACCTCGGTTTGTTCATGATGTTTTGGCTCTGCTGGCGTACTCCAGCGTTGCTCAGAGTCTCTGCACAGGAAGGCCAGAGACAAGAGTACAAGAACAATGAACATCCACAGAATCCAAAAGTATCCATCTCAAAGCAGGGGTGCACAGGATCGACAGGACGCCTCCAGGTGCTGGAGAGGCGCGACACGTGTGGACGATGATTGGGAGTTTGTTCGTCCTCCGAGAATCCTGCAGGCATGCGGGTCAGCTTAGGCTCTATGGGGAACCAGCAGGATCATTTTATCTAATTTACAACTAATCACAAAAATGATAATTAATAACTATAAACACTAATTGTGCGGCAGTGGCTCAGTACGTTAGGGGCTTGGACTGGGGCTGTAGGTGTCGGCCGGTTCAAGTCTCCGCCAGAACTTAAAAATCGGAGTGAGACTGCTACTTGGAGGGGTCCGAGTTCACCTCCTGCCCTGCTGTGGTGCCCTTGAGCAAGCAGCCGGATCTCCTGTGTTTTGCCTATAGGGTCTTATTGCTCTTCTGATCGAGTTGTATTGTTGACCTGCGGTGATCGGTGTCTGTGTTTTCCTTTATTTATCTGTGTGGTATTTAATTAACAGAATTTTTTTTTTTCTTTATCCTGCAACTGGTATGACTAACAATAGATATGCATTCTTCCTCTATACTTTGTTTGTTTAAGGATGTATAAACTGTCTAATTGTTGAAATAGTTGAATAAATTAAAAAAGTTCATTCATGGGAGGGGACATGGACAGGGGCCCTCCGGGCCGGGGTGGAATGTCGTTATCACTGGCCCCACCATTGTAACAACTGGCCCGGAGCATTCGCCACCAAAAAAAAAAAAAAACGTACTATAATGAGAGATTAACATAATTGTTTGCAATAGTAGCCTAATTTATGCACTAACTACATTATTCCAACATATTGGAAATCATCAGTTCTTCCTGCATTTTCCTCAATTGTTCATATTTGGTTTTATTAACAATCATATTGTGTCATTTGGTTAAAAATGTCTGCTATTATTATGATTTATTATTTGTATAGCTTTCTGCCTCCTGTCATTAGGGGTTAAGATCATGTAATGGCCTATGTAATTGATTGATTAGAACCTTCATTATCCTAAACTGCTGGACATTTCACCGATACCTTTATATTTTCTACTCTTCCACTTGGTGTCATAGGTCGGCATTTGATATACAGGCGACAGAAGACCCTTCTTTATTTTGGCATCATATTGGAGAGGTGCAGGACGGTCCTAACACCAGGGAAGTAAGCTGCTGTTCCTCGGACAAAGCCAATGGGATTTCTCCTCAGGGTTTTGGAAAAAGCTGCGAAAAAGGTCTGTGGAAAACAAAACCTGTTTGATAAATGCACGTTTTGTTCAGCCGGTTAAAATCTCCACAATGTCTACACCTACTTTTATAATTTTCGAAGAATAAATCTAACTCAATAGATTAATAAGGGTTTTAGGACGCGCTCACTGCACCACTAGGAGCCACTCCATCGATCAAGCTGGCTGAAACGTTCTATCCCTCTTCTTCTCATACTCCCTGTCACTCTTCTTTACTCTCCGGTGACTTTCTTTATTTGAAATTGTTTATTTTCCCGACGCTGGCCGGTTACGTGGTATTAAAAACATTTTGGCGGAATGGTTAGGGGTGGCGCGATAGTCTGTAGTGAAGGAACGCGCCTAACGGGAGGGCCTGCTCGCGGCTGCGCTCCGCAGGCAACAGCTGTTTGCGTTTTCACCCACAACGACAACCGCCTCACGGAACGTATTTGTAGGTTATAACCGAAACAATTTAACTAAATTGCTAGTCAAAATACCAATACCACAGGACACCATTTTTTTTTAAGCAATTTTTTAGGGCCCGAGCGGGCAAGGTGAAAGTGATATAATGTCGAGCCTGCATGAGACGGGTTTCATTTGCAAAAAACGGGTATCCTTTCCTCCAATCTCCTGATTGGTCGAGTGTCTTACCTGTAGGGGGATGGGGGGCGTTTCTCGACCAGGCCGTGATTACAGCGGCGAGCCGTCAGCGGGATTGGTTAATGTTTCCCCGCCTCTCGATGCTCGTTTATCCACCGCTCCTGAACGCCCGATGTTTCACTGCCGGCGGATCCACCTGCTGAGGAGGGAGCGAATAGAGGACGAATAACTTAGGTAGACATTTAAAAAAGGGGAAGGGTATCTAATATAATAAGTACGGTAACCTTAAACGTTATGTCTTTACTTTCTACGTCTCTTATAATGTAGGTATGACTTTTCTCCGTTAATCTCCGTCACAATCTGTTTCCATAGAACAACACTTCCTGTCAACAGCGCTTAACTCTCCTTCAAAAATAAAAGCATGTGCAAACCAAGAAATAGAAGCCAAGCCAAATTACCTTAAGACAATATATAACTGCAACGGAAATTAACAAACCAGTGCAACTCCTTTTCAATTTGCAAAGAACCAAATTGTTGTATCATTCCAAAAAGCATAAAAACAACAATCCTGTGAATAACTAAATGACATGCGTTAATAAACCCTAACCCACACGTGTTGGAAGCGGTTCGCTGCGATTCTACGCATTTTCCCCCCCCCCCTGCGGCGGGCGAATATTCCATGCTGATTACTACCGAATATCGGAGCCCTAAAAATGCGTATTCGGGACAGCCCCTACTTCACAAGCTGGGTGTTTATCCTTAGAAATCTCACAAGAGATACATGGACTTTTACACTGCCATTTTTAAAAGACGAAGGTATCTTTCCAAGATGAGCTTTCCGATCATAATCACCAGCTCCTCTCCGCATCCATAGTGCTCTCCTCATGTGAATGGTGACCGAGGAACACCGAGTGGGAGCGCTGAGCAGACCCACAAGGGGGGGAAAGGTAAACAATTCTTCCAAGGCAACTAAAGTTTGGTATATACTGTTTATTACAAAAATGTCTGTGGTATGGTTGTACGAGTGTCTCTCTCTGTTATTACCTGGAGTAAGCGTTCGATGAGCGTGGGGGGCAGGCCGTCCTCCTCTTGGCTGACCCTCTCTCCAGATCTGATAACACTTCGTCTGTTGTTGTGAACCGTCACCTCCTCCAGACCCTTACACCACCACGCCGCGCTGGAACGCCACTGACGATGCGGTCACAGAACATTGATTTAGCAGGAACCATGCTGTTTTTTAATCAATCTGATGGCAATCGTAAACAGTTCTTTCGAAGAAAGCCAAAATATAGGCATTACAAATGAAGACATGCTCTGTAACTGGATTGCTATGTACAAAGAGGAACGAAAGAATGCAGCTAGGGCTGCACGATATATCGCGTCTGACGATAACTCCGCTGACATGGCGATGCGCCGTTAGTCCACATCGCAGGGCCGTGCGATTTTTAAGATGCGATATTAAGTAGGGCCATTAACTTCAACCCGTTCATGTTACAATTATTCTGCTCATGTTCAGGGTTACTTGAGTGAGTGGCATGCAGGCTCTGCTTAGGGCGGCTCGATTATGGCAAAAATCATAATCTCGATTATTTGGGTCAATAATCGATGTCAATTATTAAAAACGATTATCCATTTACTTTGAAAACATCCATTTACAGAAAAAAAAAAATGTGAAAAGTATGTTTTTAACAGTTGATTACCCTGAACTTTAATTATAATTCAACTAAATAAACAATCACATTTTTTCCCGTTGCAAGCCAAAATCAATTAATTAATTGAGCAGCCCTAGGCTCTGCATGCACAGCAACCCACCAATCACAATCAAATCTCCAAAGCAAACGGACCCGGTGATCAAAGGTAAAAACACTGAATAAAGTAGTTTCATGTGTTTCTCCAGTTCGGCGCTGCTAACCGAGCTAGCTCAGCTTGTTGCTCTGATAACTTAAGATCCAGACGTCCCGTGACTAAAATCCTTCATCCGGTTAAATATAGTTAGAAAAATACCAATTGTAAAGCATTAAAGTTCAAGAAAGGATGGTTTGCGGACCAAAAAAAACAACAACTGTCTTTTCTTCAATTCCTGTATTTTTTCATATCGAAAAATATATCGCAGGGGAAGAAAATCGCAATGTCAGTTTTTTCCAATATCGTGCAGCCCCAAGTCAGAACACAAACAAACAATAACAACGACTAAAGTAATCCCCTACATTCACTGCCTGTGAGCCTCATACACACGATTATTTATCAGGAACATTGTTATATACATATACTCGTACAAATCTAGTACATACTGCAGATAGGCTATACCAATAGCAGATGGTTTTATAGAGTGTGGAATGGATTAAAAAAAGGTTTCCCAGGCTTAAAAGTGCATTTAAGGAAAAAAAGACATCCATACATACACATGGATTAGTCAAAATTGTTTACATTTCTATATTTAATATGTTACCTTGTTCCGCGGGTCGTCGAAGAGCTGCAGCCGCTCGGTGACGTCGTCCCCGGTGCTCAGCAGGTCGAACAGCTCCTCGTTGTAGATCTCCAGCAGAGACACTTTGACGGAGAACTCTGTGCCGTTCTCCGAAAGCTTCTCGAAGATCTGGTGCAGCGTTCTGGGGATGACGCCGGCCAGAGGGTCCTAAAATCAGAAACAATGGTTTTATCAGTTTATAGAAGTGGCATGCAGGGATGATGAACAGTACCGACCTTGAAGTAATAATAATAATAATAATTCATTCTATTTAGAGGCGCCTTCCAAAGCTGACGTATTTTGATAACATCACAAACAACAACAGCTTGTGGTAACCATAGACCTTATTTCAGACTTCTAACCACAAACACATGACCTCCAGGCGAGGAAAGAGGAAGTGCTAGCTGCTGACTCATTCCTACACCACTCCATACAGAAGGTGTGGATTTGATTATGCAAACACAAAGATAAACACGTTGTATGTGCTCCTGCCTCACCTCCTCCCAGGTGAACTGCTCGTCTGGAGTCCTCTCTCCCTCCATAGTGAACGTCTTTCCTGTACCTGTCTGCCCGTAACTGAACAACACAGCACAAACACACGGTTTCATTTATTTTCTATAACAATAATGCAATTGAACACATAATTACAGTGCAGCTCAAAACAGAAACGAAGACTTTTATAGATTTTAAAATAAAAGTTACTCACGCAAAAACAGTGCAGTTGTATCCCATAATGACTTCATCCAGGATGGGGAAAACGACGCTCCTGTAGACGTCAATCTGCTTTGCTGCTGGACCAAAAACCTGAAGAGAAAGGTCATTATATATATATTTTGTATTAACAGATGAAAAGGGGAAATTAAGCTCCAGTAAACATCTCAAATAAAATCTCCATTACGTTCATCATCTGGAGCGACAGACGGGCGATGTCTGTTTTTAATGTACATGAATGTTGATTAAACATGTGTCGGCAAATAACATGAATGGCGGAACGCAGTGCTGAGTAATATTTAATAAAGAAAGTCGGCTTGTTAAGAAAAAGGCTATCTAATTTAATTTTAAAGGGCCCATGTCATGTTTTTCCGGTTCTTACCCGTCCCCTTGTGTGTTATGAAGGTTTTTCTGTATTTGAACGGTCTGCAGAGCCACAAACCCTCAAAGTACACCCTGTAGCGAGTAATGCGTCCACTCACCATGTCAAAAGTGTAAGTTTTTCGTGACGCCTTGTCGTTCATTCCTCCTGTCTTCACGACCACTTCCTTCCTGTTGGAGTCGCAGTCCATCACCCCGTAGGAGGACTTTCGCTCCACTGTGTTAAAGGGTCTGACAAAATAACACAAAGTGACTTCTCTGAACAACATCTCAACGATAAATCTAATGTGGGTTTAGGGACATTATCAGGTGGAATGTATGCAGGTGAAGTTATCAACACACAGCTAAATACATACAATAATATGTACTTTATGCATAAAGGGTAGGAGAAGTAGGTAATGCAGCAAAATGTTATGAATACCTTTCTTTTTAAACCTCCTAAAAATGGTTGAAAATTAGACTTGAAATGCTGCGAGGTCATTTTAGTCCACACTGTTCACATTTGATGGATGGAAGACCAAAAAAACCATATTCACCAGTTGGAAGTAAATGTCAGCACTTTTCTTGTTGTTCCTAGTTTGAATCTTTTTGGTTTATTGCACTTATTGTGAGTCGCTTTGGACAAAAGCGTCAGCTAAATGCAATGTTATGTAATCCAAGCATTTAAAGATAACGGTCTAAGATTAAAAAGCTTTGAGGAAAAAGGTATTTCAACTCTCCAATTTGACAATGCATAGGAAAAATATTGTTTTGTCTTTCCGTATCATTTGAGTTTCAATTGAAAAAACAAGTGCAAACTTCAATGTATATAATAATGTTCTATACAGCTTTTAAAAAGAACACATCTTTCTACTTTTGATCTGTATATATTTGCAGTTTATCGAAATTAATCTATGGACAGTGCCGTAATCATTTGTCAATATTTCTGCTTAATTTGGTATGAACAAAGCACATTTATCTCTTGTATCACAGTGTCACATAAAGAGGAAGTTGAGCTGGGAACATGCACTTCTTTGTTTTTATTTTACACCATAATACTGCTTATTTTAGCTCGATTAAAAAAGGTCTAAACACTTCATTCACCCCTGGTTTTCTGTCCATACCTGCATCTGACTACGACCTGGATGTTACTCCCCTTCTCATCCCGTTTCAATCCGCTCGAGTTGTGTGAAGCCATGATGGCACTCTTTTCTCTAAAAATAGGTTTGAAAGTAACAGTTACACACCTTAAATGAACATACAAACAATTCAACAATGCAGAGACGATATTAAACCTTTAAAAACATGATAGTTGCGGAGCAAAAAACACAGATTACTATTTCAAGTCTGAAGCGGTTAGCTAAGTGGAAAATAGCATGCTAGGTAGCTCATTTCAAATTGCCTTTACTCCATAGCAACTCACCGGCTTATCTTCCTCTCCTTTTATGAATAATCCGCTTTATCCCCAGGAAATATGATTTGTGTTTATTATGAATCCAACGTCTTGTTCTCTGACAACTCTTTCTCTGTCCTCTCTGGCGCTCTGTTACCTCCGACAAGAAAAGTATTTCAAACAATACTTTTAAATGTTGCTGAACCAATAAGAGGATAGTAACGGTCAAAAACACGACACCATTGGTCGCAAGGAAACCACTTTGGCGCGGAGCATCACGGGAAGTTACACCGGACGCGATGCGAATATTCGCTTCGCTAACGCTCGAGTTTCACCGCAGCTGCCGGCTGTGTTTAAACTTTACTTGCATCATTCAAACAAGACGCGCTGGCTAGGGAGCTACAACTACAACAAAATGAACATATTTTACAGTGATTAAATTGTAATACACATTTCTAAATGATGCCGAAGTAACAACATACTGATACCGGTTAGTAAAAACCATGAATTAATGCTTGACAAGTCTGCAGACAAGACGGCAGGCGAAAAACCTTTTATAATGCTTGTTTTCTGAACGG